CACGAGCATCAGCTGGCCAATGGCGCTTGTCCAGAACCCCCGCCGCCATGAGCATCACGAGCATCAGCTGGCCAATGGCTTTTGTCCAGAACCCCGCCGCTATGAGCATCATGAGCATCAGCTGGCTTCTAGCAGCATGAGCAGGGCTTCTGTTGAAGTTGTATAAAGTCTTTCTTCGGTTTTGCAGGGGCTTTATAAGTTTCCTACACTATAGGTTTGTGTATGCAGTTTAGTCAACCAAAAGCGCCAGTCTCCAGAAATTCTCTGCGAATACCCCGTTAGAACGACCAAGCAAGAAACGAGACTCACACTCAACCTCACCAAGAGAGCCCTCAATGGGAAAACCCGCGGCCGGTGTATATAGAGTTGAGGGTGTGTGTGTGTGTGTGTGTGTGTGTGTGTCTGTGCGTGTGTGAGTGTGTGTGTGTGTGTGCGTGTGTCTGTGTCTGAGCGTGATTATGTGTGCATACATACATATATATATATATATGTATATATACTTATACATATTTACATATGTATATACATATATATACATATATATATATATATATATATATATAAATGTATATGTATAAACATATAGTGTGTATATCCATATGTGTGGATATCCAAATGTATGTATGTGTATATAGAACTATCTATCTGCACACGTAGAATCACGCACACATGCGTGTGTTTTGATAATGGGGTTCAATAGGCAAGGAGAAAGACAGACAGCAAGAGAGAGAGCGAGAGAGAGAGAGAGAGAAGAGACAGACAGACAGACAGACAGAAAGGCAGTCAGGCAGGCAGGCAGGCAGGCAGGCAGACAGGCAGGCAGACAGACAGACAGACAGACAGCGACAGACGGAGAGAGAGAGACAGAGGCAGAGAGACAGAGAGGCAAAGAGACAGACCGAGTGAGAGTGAGAGATGCCTAAGCCCCTAAAACCCTGCACCTGATGCTCCAAGGGAGGTTTGCGATGAAGACGCTGCGGGTTTTTGGACCTCGTCTAATTGTTCTGGGGGCGGTTCAGTCTTTAGGGATTTGAGTTTGGGCTCAGAGATCAAATTGTAGATGTAGACATCAGGGTTACGTCTCAAGTGCTCTGTTTCTTTCCCAAAGCTCTTGGCTTCGGGGCTATGCTTGCTCCATGGCTTAGTTTTGGGGCTGCTGTCCGTTCGGGGCTCCATGCATCAAGCCTTTTTCTGCTGTCCACGGGGCTTTGGGCAAAGGCTGCGCTTAATCTTCAGTGCATTCGCGGCGGAGACCCCTGCTAACCCTGAACGCGAAAATCGAAAATGAAGCTGCAGCCCCAAACCTCATACGCCCTGAACTTTGAATCGTAAACCTCAACCTTAACCCTCAGCCCAAAACGCTAAATCCCAAACCCCAAGCCTCTTAGGTTTGGACCGTTCAAACTCAAGATAGTGCTGGGGTTGAGGGTTCACTTTAAGGTCTAGGGTATGGGGGTTTTAGGCTTTATGTCTCAGATCTTTTAGGGTTGTACCGTTTAGACTGTAGGGATTTGGGCAGTAGGATTTACGGCTTGGGTCGAGGGCAGGCAAGCTGCGACTGGCGCTGCGTGCCCATCAGGCGGGCTGGGTTAGTGACGGTTAGCAGGGCAAGGGAGGACTTACGGTATGTGGGATTTTTGGTCAGCATTCTTGTTTTCTCTGCAGGGGTTTGAAGGTTTCGGCCTAGCGCGATGACGGGCGACATTTAGGACTCTCGACCAGGCTTGAAAGGGGCTGTTTCAAGGAACGTAGAGAGATCATACCACTTAGGTATCACCGAAGGAAGATGCCCCGAATGATAGCAGGCCTTCTTATAATTTACGGCCTGCTCCCTGACTGAAGGGCCTTGGACCTGGACCCGGAACTCTGGAAACAACGCCGAGAAGGGCAGTGCGCTGACAATACCAAACCCTAAACCCTAAACCCTAAACCCTAAACCCTAAACCCTAAACCCTAAACCCAAACCCTAGAGAGCTTGTCGACTCATTTAAGCATCTACACTCAACCTCCCGGGTCGGAAGTGAGGCCATCTTTAGATGGCTTGCAGATAAGCGTCTTCTGCCGAGTCCTGGCATTTAAGCGGTAAACGTAGGGTTTAGGGTTTAGGGTTACAAAATCCTGAAGTGGATCGGTTTAGGTTTGTTGTAGGGTTTAGGGTTTAGCGAGCCATGTACATGGTTGCCCAAACTAACAAACCACGTCTTGAAAGCTGGGTCTAGAATTTATAATTGTCGTCTGGGCAATACAGCAGCCCCTTGAAACTTGTGCCCCACACCTGCCCAGCGCCCCGTAATCGCACACCTAACAGCCTCAGAACCAGCCCCTAAGCCCTAAACCCTAAACCGTAAACCCTAAACCCCCAGATTCCTACATCAACTCCCAGCAAGCCTGTAAAACCGCTGTCAACCTGCCCCAGAAACCCCAGAGCAGCGCGAGCCTCCACCTTTATCCTACTTGGAGGTTCATGGGCACTTAGAAATGGGGTTATAAGTATTGTGGGGTTTGGGTTTAGGGTTTAGGGTTTAGGGTAACCTATGTTAGGGGACTTATAACTCCACTTATAACTACCCCTGAACCTCCAAGTACCCCCTCCTTCCGCGCCCCAGAAACGACAGCCCCGCAGACTTCTAGGCCTCCAAGCCCTGCCCTACGGCCCAGCAGAAGAACTCCCTGAATCCTAAACCCAAGACCCGAGATCCCCAAATCCTGCAATATATATATATATATCATATATATATATATATATCTCTCTCTCTCTCTCTCTCTCTCTCTCATATATATATATATATATACCATTAGAATAGGGGTTTTGGTGTATATTGTACGTATTATACTAGACTTATAATAAGGAACCCCACCAATAATGTAGGTAATGCTGTAAAGCGCAACGCCACACCCTTTCCAAAGAATCCAAAAAGAACTAAACTCCCAGCTTCCCTGGCACTACAGTCCGCTGAGCCAAACATCAAACATCACGGCATCCGTCCTTCCGGCTCCTTGTTCGAAGCCTGGCAGCCGAAGGGAAGAAGCCAAGCCCCAGAAGGATTTCGGCTTAGCACCGGCTGTCCTACTTCGGGGTTCCCATACGGGCGAAAAGTGCGAGTCAGTTTCTCCCGGGGTCACCCTAAGCCCTAAACCCTCTAAGGGCAACTTCAGAGGCTTCCTGCCAGGGTTGAAAATTTATGTTTAGGGTTTAGGGTTTAGGGTATGTAGCTTTTGACTGCAATCCCCACAGTTCCCCATCAGGCAGCTGCAATTGATCCCCGAATCGTGCTTCAAGCAAGTGCCGCAATAGTTAGTGCTTTAAGTGCGTTAGTAGTTAGAGCAGGGTTTTGGGGACCATTCTGCTTTGGACTAGGGTTTCGGTGCCTTTTCTAGTTTACCGGTACAAGGACTATCGGGGAAATTACCTTCTTCAGGCCTCTATAGCAGGTCCCAACTCCTGCCCCGCCTCCACCGCAAAGAGCGGACCCCCTGTCAATGCGGCGGCCACCTCAGACCAAGCCACTGCACAGATCGGGCAGAGGGGTTCAGTGTATGAAGTGCACATCAAGGATTTCACTTGATGCTGCTTTTCTGTGTCCAAGCAAGTAAGATGGAAGGCCAGGGCTGTAGGCTTCAGAAGCTGAGAAACAGTCCTTCCCTTTGGGCCATTGCCGAGGGCATTGCAGTTTCGGGGTAATGAGAGTCTCTCAAACGCTATACCCTCAACAATAAAGCCCCAAATGGCCCTAAACCCTAAACCCTAAACTCTGAACTCTACACACCTCAACCCCATGGCCCAGATCCCCAGGCCCTAAATCCGAACCCGCCCCCTCCAAAAACAACACAAAAGAGAGCATCACATTGGGTACTTAAAGGATCATGGGACTTAGTAAGTAGGGCTAAAATTAGGGTAACTATACTTATCACCCCAATTAAGGGACTTATAACCTTACTTACTAAGTCCCATGATCCTCCAAGTAGTTCTCTAAACTAGGGTCCCTTTCTAGGAACCCAAAAGGAGGCGACACCCTTGTGAAAAGGACCCTAAAAGGGACCCTAACTTAGAGAACTACCCTTATAGAACCCTTATAGACTCCTTTAAGGAACCCAAAAGATGCTCCTAAAAGGGACCCTAATTTAGAGAACTACCCGCATCAGCAACACGAGTCGGCACGCATCCTCTCATCTCCCCGGGGCTCCCACCGCGAGGAGCACAAGGCTGCGAAGGCGAGGAGATGCAGCTGCCCTGCCTCATCCGGAAGTAACAGCACTAGTAGCAGCAGTAGTAGTGGTAGTAGGAGCACTAGTAGTAGTAGTAGTAGTAGTAGTAGTAGTAGCAGTAGAGAATTGTACGCACTCAGCGGCATTAGAACACACACACACACACACACACGGACACGGAGACAGAGGGAAATGCACACGCCGGCGACCGGCAGGTCGGGAGGCTGCACATCCACGGTCTCTCTTCAGGCCTTGGACGCAACGACCGTGCAAGGAGACTCCAGACACTTTGCGGCGCAAAGCCTTTCCAACAATGCTCCTCTTTCCTGTTACGCTGTCTGCTGCCGAATTCTCCAGCTTCGCTTCCCCTTTCTGGGCGTGGCAGTGATCGATCCCATGCAAGTAGTCTATAACTGTAATGTTTGGTGTCTGGCATGGTGGGCGTCCTCTTGAAGGTCACGACGGGCTGCTGGGGTCTCAGAAATTACAGAGGAAACCTCGGGGCAAGAATGAAACCTGATCCGGAGCCTGATAATCCTTTAATTATAACAATCTTAGCTTCCTCCTACTACGAGAAGCTCTTGAACTACCCTACTACTTCATGCAGCTCAATCCCAAGCGCACGCTAGTCGACGAATCCTGGACCCTAAACCAAAGGCCCTCATGCAGCCTTCATAAATTTTGTAAGCCCTTCTTTATAAAAACCCTAAACCTAAACCCCAAACCCTAAACCCCTAAACCCTAAATCCCAAACCCTCACGAAGCTCTGAAGCTCCCAAACAAGCGCTGCAAGCCTCAAGCAATCTGGACACGACGTTCCGGAATGCCTTCAGGGGCTTTGGGCTCGAGGCTTGAGATTTAGCCAGGACTTGAGGCTCAACTTCAGGGTTCGAGGCTTCGAGGGACCTGAAAATGCAAACTTGGTAAGGGTTTACTACCCCAAACCCTAAACCCTCCATTTCAGGCTCGTGGTGCAAGGGTTAGAGTCGGTTAGAGTCTGTGTCAGAGACGGACCTTGCACCTTGAAGCATAGTTTACAGTAAAGGAGCAGCGTACCCAGAAATTTTGGGATTGCTTTGTTCGTAGTTGTGCAAAGATTCAAGACGCCAGCTTTGTCACGTCGAAGAAGAACGACTGCCGTGCAGACTGCCTGCTTCTAGGATCCCACACCCTAAGACAACCTACTGCCAGAATGCTGCGCTTCACTATAAATCAGCTTTCTTTGGGAGTGCTCTGAGACTTTACGACTCTACGGCAAAGGCACCATGCATGGAGCCGAAAGCTCCCTGTTTCGGGTCCTCCAAACTGGCGATGTCTAGCGGTTTACGGTTTAAGGTCCGCCCGAAGTTGAGGGTGATAAAGCTTGCCCCCAACCCATGGACTGAAAAGCCCCAGCAAGCAAGCCACAAGGTGTCTGAGTTCATGGCGAATTCTGTCGGGCTATGGGAGCTTAGGGGCTTGGGGCGCATGTAAGCATTCCAAACCAAGAGTAGGATGACGCGGACGTATGACGCTCCGCTGCCGCACTAAACGGAGGGCAAAAGTGCAGGGCATGGCTTTAGGGGTGTAGTATAAGGGCCTTAATAATTACCTATACTATGTTGGGTGTGCCTTATTATAACTATAGTCAAATATAATCTACCCCCAAAACCATATTCTAGTTCTTCAGGCCCCGATGTTAAGGGCAAGAGAATCTGAAACTCTGAGACGACTGGCAACCTGGAGCCCTGAACCCTAAACCCTAAACCCTGAAGCCCTTAGAAGACCCCAAACCGCAGAAGCCGCTCACTCCCAAATCATGCCGCCAGGGATAAGGGTTTAGGGGTTTAGGTAGGGCTTTAGGGGTTTAGGGTTTAGGGGTTTAGGGTTTAGGGTTTGGGGTTTAGGGTTTGGGGTTTAGGGTTTGGGGTTTAGGGTTTGGGGTTTAGGGGATAGGGTTTANNGTTTAGGGTTTAGGGTTCCACAAGCCAAAGCCCCAAAAACCCAAACCCTACTGCCCCAAACCATAGTCCGAAGTTTCCAAACGACAAACCCAACACCCAAGGCCGTGTGTTCCAAAATGTGGACCGAAAGCCAGCAAGCCCTGAACTTCCTAAACCCCCAAATTCAAGGAAACTACAGG